GGGAAGCTACAGCTGGTACAAAATGCAGGGTTGCTGAGCATTCTGTCAAGCACATATAACATCTCTGAGCCAGGTTTAAGGTTTTGTTTTTAGTTTAATAATCCCTTAGGGACGTGGGTGGTGCTGTGGGTTAAACCACAGAGCCTAGGGCTTGCCGATCAGAAGGTCGGCGGTTCGAATCCCCGTGACAGGGTGAGCTCCCGTTGCTCAGTCCCTGCTCCTGCCAACCTAGCAGTTCGAAAGCAGGCCTGTGGAAGTAGATAAATAGGTACCACTCCAGCGGGAAGGTAAACGGCGTTTCCGTGCGCTGCTCTGGTTCGCCAGAAGCAGCTTAGTCATGCTGGCCACATGATCCGGAAGTTGTACGCAGGCTCCCTCGGCCAGTAAAGCGAGATGAGCGCCGCAACCCCAGAGTCGGTCACGACTGGACCTAATGGTCAGGGGTCCCTTTACCTTTACTTAAACAACTCAGGACCAGGTTATCTGAAAGAATGCCTTTTTCCACATGGACCTGCCCGTTCACAAAGATCTTAGGAGGAGGCTCTGTGAGTTACGCAGCAGCCTGCAGAGGTGGATTTCGTGGGAACCTGGAAGACAGCCTGCTCGATTGTGGAGCCCAGCCTGTTGCTTCAGCTTCCCACCAACATAGGGAAAGAACTTATGGTGAAATTCCATTGGCTGATAGTAACGTCTATTTACTCAAGCTTTTCCTGGCTTCCGATACCAGCTGAATAATTCCTCATTACTGTAACAGTGATACATTGTGGTTTTTTAAAAATTAGATTGCTTTTGTTGCATATTAAAATTGTTGTTCTGTACCAAATTGTTTTATTGCACAGCACCGTGGTGTTATTTTAAGGAGAGCGGGTGTATATGACTATTTTAAATAAACAAATAGTACAAGTGCACTTACCTGTGACTGCAGCTTCACCATGGCTGCTTCCATTTCAGTGTTGGATTCATTCAGCTCACTAATCTCTTTGTTTAGCTGCTTAATTTCTTCGTCATTCTCTAGAACTGCAAGGGTGAAATAAAGAAGCGGTCAGGCAATTTCCTGCTCTAATATATGCAGATAGAACCTACACGGAGTAGATCCATTTAAATTAATGAAACTAAATTACATATCATTTCTGCTAACTTCAGTGTTACTCTGAGTAGCACTGAATACCACCCTTGGACTCCAGTGTACTGTTAACAACAACAACAACAACAACAATTTATTATTTATACCCCGCCCATCTGGCTGAGTCTCCCCAGCCACTCTGGGCGGCTCCCAATCGAGTGTTAAAAACAATACAGCATTAAATATTAAAAACTTCCCTAAACAGGGCTGCCTTCAGATGTCTTTTAAAGATAAGATAGCTGCTTATTTCCTTCACATCTGATGGGAGAGCGTTCTACAGGGTGGGCGCCACTACCAAGAAGGCCCTCTGTCTGCTTCCCTGTAACCTCACTTGTCACAATGAGGAAACCGCCAGAAGGCCCTCGGCGCTGGATCTCAGTGTCCGGGCTGAACAATGGGAGTGGAGACGCTCCTTCAGGTATACTGGACCGAGGCCGTTTAGGGCTTTAAAGGTCAGCGCAACACTTTGAATTGTGCTCTGAAATGTACTGTCTACACAATAATGCTTAGCTCTCATGTAACACCATTGGAGTGCTCTAAACGACGTTTACCTTCCCGCCGCAGTGGTACCTATTTATCTACTTGCACTGGTATGCTTTTGAGCTGCTAGGTTGGCAGGAGCTGGGACAGAGCAATGGGAGCTCACCACCATTGTGCAGATTTGATCCGCTGACCTTCTGATCAGCAAACCCAAGAAGCTCAGTGGTTAAGACCACAGCACCACCCACGCACCTTTAACAGAAATAATCACCTTGGAAGGTGGTGGTTCTCCTTAGTTAGAGGTTATTAAGCAGATACTGGAAGGTTAGTTTTGGGGAATGCTATAGCAATGGGTTTCCTGCATTGGTAGTGGGTTGGTGAAATGACCTTTAATGGCCCTTGCAAAATTTACAATCATATCATCTCATTAATTATAATATTTAATGGCAAGGTAAGTTGCGCCCCCCCAATCATATTAAAAATGGAGGGTGGGGTGAAACAGAAAGAACAGAGTTTGGCTAGTGAGTTACAGCTGAGAATCAAGGACTTTCTACAACACTGGCTTTATCATATGGTGAGCATTGTACTGCATAATGATTTAAACTAGATCCTTCACACTGAAACCACAACATTCTGGTCACGATATCACATGTGATCTAGCAGGCTGAAAAAACTGGGGGCATTTTAAGAGCAAATTTAGTGGCGAGGCATATTTTTAGCTTTTGGAAATTGTGCAAGAATCAAATAGTGGAGAGTATGCAGTCGGTAGCAAGATGGATATTTACTCTTGTTGGGGATTTCCAGATTGCAAGAAACATGCTGCCTGAATAGCAGAGCAAATCCTTAGCAAGTAAGTTAGCAAGTACTAATTCAATTGGCATGGATCATCTCGGTCCAGTGGAAATGCTAATGGTGTGGACACACACAATCTGTAAGGTTATGTTAATTTTTTCAAAATCAAATTTTCAAATATGCAAAACTAGCCAAGTGATAAATCTGGTTCTCTTACCATCACTGGTCTTGAATTTAGCGTTGAGAATTTCATCCCCTGAGATTTTCCCCTTTTTCCCAGCAAAAGTAGCTCTTGGACACCCTGACAGGCTAAAATGATAAACAAAAGTGGATTTTATTAGAACCTCCAGGATTAATTGCAGCCAGGTAATTAAGGCTGAGCTAAAATTACCATACTTGCAATAGCATAAAAGCCTCCCTTGTGGGGTGAAATTCAGCATTCTTTGTAAATATGTTCAGTCACTGTGCAATCTCGTGCATTCAGAATTAAGTAGTATTTAAGGAAACCTACTACCAAGTAAGTGTGCAAAGAATTGCAGCCTTATTCATATCTATTGCCCTAAATTGCGTTGCTCCCAGTTGCCCTCCTTGCCATAATCATGTAAGCAAATCTGAGTGGTTGTGTTGACCCACAAGATCACCTATGTCTTACGATGCTGTGTCAGGTGTAGCTTTGTTATATTCGTTAAATCATCCTTGACTAGGTCAGATTACTTATGCGAGCAATTTAGAGAGTACTAGTGTTAAGTTGTGGGTGAACATATCAGACGACACAGCGATTCTTCAAACAGCTCTTGTTTATTCACAGGCCAGAACAGAACTGAACTGAAGGGTTCAGCCAGTCTGCTTATATAGAGCTCCACTAGAACGCAACAGTAACCATTTTCTGTAACTATCCAATCACTGAACGTCACTTTCAATCCCTTATTTGCATATGTGGACCTGAGTGAAAACTATCTACAATATCCCCCTGCTGGCCCAGGGTGAGAACTTCAGTACATAACAACTAGGAAAAGGACTCTGTTTGAAATCTATGTGAGCCACTGCATTTAAACAGTGGACAAACAAACACCCTGGCTCAGTTTAAGGTTGTTTCCTACATTCCCAAGAAGCAGAAACCTCAGGAGCAAAATCAACAGCAAACATAGACAGCTCTGCTGAAATCACTGGTTCTGATCCTAAAGCAGAAATTTGTTGATGTGGGAAAGCATAGAGAACTTCTTAAAAAAATATTTTTTTGTGAGGAAATCTTTCTCCACCTCTGGCATCCTTTCTCGTTGTTGATGTTTACATTAACTGTAAATGTTTGCATAAAATTTCAAAACAAAATGAAAATAATGTGTTTTACTTCTCTGGGGGAAGAAATAACCATTTCTCTCTCTTTTTTCCTCCTTGTCACTCAATGGAAAAATCACAAAATGAATATAGCTATTTAATGCTCATTGTAAAACCATTTCCCAGGGAAGTTTCCATCCCCCTCCCACCCCAGTTGACGCAGTAAGTTTTTATAAGTCCGCCAGGAACTCAGTCATTTGGATTAGCTTGGCTGAATAGTTTGAAATAAATAAATAAATTGACAGTTGTATATGAGAGAAATTCCCTTGCAGGTTGCCCCATAAAAGATTCAGCTATAAAATGCGGATTCTAATCAAAGCACGTATTTTATGTCTCATAAATCCAAAGATATCCTCCTCCTGAAATTAGCTGTAGTTGCGGATAGCCTGTTGTACTGTTCTGGACTTCATTAGAACCTTTCATGAGATACCCCCAGGCTTCCAACAGCTACTTATTTACTAATTATGTTGCTGTTGTTGTTGTTTAGTCGTTTAGTCGTGTCCGACTCTTCGTGACCCCATGGACCAGAGCACGCCAGGCACTTGGGTCTTCCACTGCCTCCTGCAGTTTGGTCAAACTCATGCTGGTAGCTTCAACAACACCATCCAACCATCTCGTCCTCTGTCGTCCCCTTCTCCTTGTGCCCTCCATCTTTCCCAACATCAGGGTCTTTTCCAGGGAGTCTTCTCTTCTCATGAGGTGGCCAAAGTCTTGGAGCCTCAGCTTCAGGATCTGTCCTTCCAGTGAGCACTCAGGGCTGATTTCCTTCAGAATGGAGAGGTTTGATCTTCTTGCAGTCCATGGGTCTCTCAAGAGTCTCCTCCAGCACCATAATTCAAAAGCATCAATTCTTCGGCGATCAGCCTTCGTTATGGTCCAGCTCTCACTTCTATACATCACTACTGGGAAAACCATAGCTTTTACTATATTAATTATGTATTTATTGCATTTGTATAGCGCTGTTCTACCAATTTGAAACACTAGAATAAATAAATGCAAAACAAAGCAAAACAAAACATTATCAGGCCAACTTCAGGAGCTGGCGATTAAATGCTTCCTGGCCTGGGCTTCCTCACATCTGCCTTCCCTCCAGGCAGACAGGTCTTAAGCAGTCCCAGGGAAAGTGTGTGCAGGGGCAGGGGCCCCAACAGTTCTCCCAGGCCACTGATGGTCCCTTCAGGAGCTGGTGGCATGAGGTCTGCAGCCTGGGCAGAAGTGCAGGGTGGGTGGAGCAGATACTGTGAGCATGAAAGCTACCACGTTGTGTTGTGAAACAGCTCGGTTGGCTGGAGCATGGTGCTGACAAACGCCAAGGTTGCAGGTTCGATCCCTGTCAGGGACAGCTGCATATTCCTGCATTGCAGGCCGTTGAACTAGATGATCCTCAGGGCCTCTTCCAGGGAGCCAGTGTGGTGTAGTGGTTAAGAGCGGTAGTCTCGTAATCTGGTGAACCGGGTTTGCGTCTCCGCTCCTCCACATGCAGCTGCTGGGTGACCTTGGGCTAGTCACACTTCTCTGAAGTCTCTCAGCCTCACTCGCCTCACAGAGTGTTTGTTGTGGGGGAGGAAGGGAAAGGAGATTGTTAGCCGCTTTGAGACTCCTTAAGGGATATCGAGTCCAAATTCTTCTCCTTCTCCTTCTCCTTCTCCTTCTCCTTCTCCTTCTCCTTCCAGCTCTGGTTCTATATAATGTCCATCCAGAGCTGGGATTAACAACGGACCCCTTGAGCAATCCTGTGGGATGTCATCCACTGGGAGCAGTCAAGTACCACATTCCTTGTTTTGCTAGAGTGGACATGCAAGGGAATGTTTGGTCCAGCCTGTTCCTCCTGGCCTGCAGCATCCTTCCTTGCATGTGACTAGTAGGTGGGCGAGACCTTCCCTGACCTAACAAAAGGTTCAGTCACACAGCTACCTCTCCTTCTTTCTCTTCGATCTTCCTTTCATCCTGCGAACTTCCTGTACTGCTGGCTGTCAGCCAAGCAGTCCCCCAGGTTATCTCCCATATGGGGTAAAGCTGTTTGTACATGTTTGTAACTTTAAGCCTAAGGCCTGCTTTGAGGGATCACACTGTGCTCTGCCAGATCGTGAGTAAAACTACTATTTGTTATTTATGGATAAGACTGTGGTGTCTTTATTCTTTTAGGAGGGATTTAAAAGGGGTCTTACCAGGAATATTAGAACATATCTCAATCTGGACAAGCCAGATTGAATTGCTTATTGTCTTAAGAAACTCACACGAGTTTGCAACCAGCTTTCTACTGCGTAAGATGGGAAATGCACTCTGCTAAGTGAAGGAACTTCCTAGCGCAAGTTAGGAAGGATATTACCGTATATACTCGGTATAAGCTGACCCAAATATAACCCGAGGCACCTAATTTTACCATAAAAAACTGGGAAAACTTACTGACTCAAGTATAAGCGGGTCCACCACACCACAAACCTGAGGGGGACTTTTTCAGCATAAAAAATGTGCTGAAAAAGTCGGCTTATACTCGAGTATATAGTGGCACTGGCATTGTGGGAATGTTGATGGCAGGCAAAAGCTTGGATTGCCAAGATCGGGCAGCTTGCTTTACACGAGAAGCTCACACCACATCACAGAGTTGGCAGAGGACCTAAAGGGAAGGACGAGTTGCAGGAGCTTGCATGCATTTCCTAATGTACAGTGGCAAATGGCAGATTCCACATATGGCGCATGGAAGAGACGTGGGCCTGCAGATCTGTTAATGCTTTCATGTGTTGCAACCAGTGTTTTTGTTTCTGTTTGGTAAAAAATGTCGAACTAGTACTCCTGTCTTGATAAAAGGGCCGTGGGTGTCACCAGAAAATAGTTGCTATGGGCAGCGAAAGAAGAGAAAAGTGATGATACTTCATACCAGTGAGTACCATCAAAAAAAGCACTGGTTGCAGTAGAAGTACTGTATGAACTCAAAGGAAAATGGGCACTGTGACAGGAGCATCGTTACTCCAGTGTTTGTTGCTATAGTTTACTGCTTAAGAGAAAATAATTAAAGAATTAAAAAGGAGATGACACCAAGCTACTCAGTGGAGGGCAGTTATCTTCGGACCCTCCTTGTAAACTTCTGGCTGATCACTGTTGGAAACGGGCTGCTGGGCCAGACAGACTTTTAGTCTGAGCCAGCAAAACAGTTAGTTCTTCTTTCTTCTCTGACACAACTGACACAATTTCATAGGATGCCCCTGTGTGTATCCTCCACCTGCTTTGGTGACCTAGTCTCAGTTTACAAGTACCAGACGTATCTTGGGAGAAGGATATAGCTGGGCATGGATCTCTCACATCTGTTATCCCGGTGGAAAACTCCGCAACTGTCAGCTTGCTTTCCAGATCCATTGGCTCAATGCATGACAGATGCAAAACTGGCCTCTGGTGTAGGTTGCACAAGATAGTTATATCCTGCAAAATCAGCAGCTACATTTGTGTTTATATGCCCTCTGGGGTTAGACATACAAACGGAGATGCTTCAAGAAATGACATGTAACACATAGTATAGAACAGGCTTCCTCAACCTCAGCCCTCCAGATGTTTTGAAACTACAATTCCCATCATCCCTGACCACTGGTCCTGCTAGCTAGGGATCATGGGAGTTGTAGGCCAAAAATATCTGGAGGCCGAGGTTGAGGAAGCCTGGTATAGAATAAGACAAATCTCTTACAATCTCACTCGTCTACGTGCAATTAAATTCTTGGGGGACATTTCTTGTTCCTAATTTCCTCTATCCATGCTGTGATGCAGTGTGTTAAACAAGGATGAAATATTTAGATTAGGAACAAGTTTTGCCTGGATTTGAAATTGAGTGAATTTTCAACATCCATGCATCAGAAGCTGAAAAGATGTCTTTGCCTGCTCTGCTCCCAAATCCCTGAAGTTCATACGAACTGTGTTCGGACTATTGAAGCAGGCAGCTAATTATACCACCACCCCTTAAACCACTGACACACATTTATTCCATATTTGGATGAGCTCACTATCGTAAATGAGTTTTGTAGAACTTCAAGAGTTTTGTAGAACTGGAAAAGGTTCAGGAAAGGGCAACCAAAATTATCAAGAGGCTGGATATTTGTGGATCATGTGAATACACTCTTTGGATTTCAGTGACTGCTGCACGAGAGGTTCCAAGCAGATCCACGGTCATTCTCTGTATTTCATCTCAAGGGGTAAAACAAGGGGACAAGGGTGACGAGTGCACACTTCATTGAAACCTCAGGCAATCTAGCACAGATCAGCACAAGGGAGTCTCAAAAAATCTAGATATCTAGTTTGGTCCCAGGGCTCAGTTCCTGAGCAAGTATCGAGATGGTGTCGCAAAATGGACTTCACTGCTACCTTTTGCAAAAGACACCGGGACCACGTGCATAACGGTTACCTTCTGTGAGTGAGGAAGCTTCCATTTGCGTGACCTGAGCCATCACAACCTGGGGTTGGGCAAGTGGGACCCTCGTTCTTGAGGGACTTCCATGAAAAGGATGAACCATTGAGAGACCCTTCTTTCTGCCTCCGGGCTGCGAGGGGGCACCCCGAGGCACTGCGATGGGAGGCGTATTTGCCACTGATGTGTCCAAGCCCAACACAACCGGGAACAGGGCACCTACAGAAATAAGAAGAAACAACACCTTTTGCTCAGATATAAACAAACAAACAGATTACAGCTTGGGTCCATTTTGCTGGCGGAAGTGTCTCATGAGTTCCGCTCCAGCCGGCAGAAGGGGTGGGAGATCACTTTCACTCTTCCTTCCTCCCCCCGACAGCCCTTGTGCTTCCCAAAAACTCTCTGCTGGACCACAAGCCCTTGTATGATGGGGAAGCGCTTTGCTTTTGCAGAAGGGAGCTCAGGATTCAAACCTTAGAAGCCTACCTTAGAAGGAAGTAAAAGAGCATCAGCATTATACCACATGTTACGTTTGCTTCATGTTACGTTCTTTCAGGTTACATCCCGCGGCGACCCAGAAGTACCGGAAAGGGTTACTTCCGGGTTTTGCCACTCGCGCATGCACAGAAATGCTAAATCGTGCTTCGCACATGCGCACAAGCACCAAATCACACCGTGCACCTGCGCAGATACGATGCGATACTGGAAAGGGTTACTTCTGGGGTTTCACCACTCGTGCATGCACACGAGCACCAAATCGCACCTGCGCAGCTACGGCGCTTCAGGTTGCGGGCTTTTCATGTTGCGAATGGGCCTCCAGAATGGATCCCATTCACAACCAGAGGTACCACTGTACAGCCATACCTCAAGTTATGTCTGCTTTATGTTACGTTCTTTCAGGTTATGTCCCGTGGTGACCTGGAAGTACCAGAAAGGGTTACTTCTGGGTTTCGCCGTTCGCACATATGCAGAAGCGCAAAATGACGTCACACGCATGCGCAGAAGCGGCGAATCGCAACCCGTGTGTGCGCAGACGAGCCGCTGCAGGTTGCATTCTTTTCATGTTGCGAACGGGCCTCCGGAATGGATCCCGTTCACAACCAGAGGTACCACTGTATCAGCTCCAGTAACCACCCAGGTGAATCAAACATTGAAACTGGCTATAAAAGAAGGAATCTAAGGAACCATAAGCACCATATATGGTATTTAAGGCGCACCCTCTCTCTCAAAGGTTCTTAGGAACTGTAGCTCACCCCTCAGAGAACTACAGTTCCAAGCCCTTTTAAAAATCAGCTCCCAGGATTCAAATTGGGGAGATGCTTTCAATGCCTGGTGTGTACGCAGATTAAAAGGTTCTGAATCACAGAAAGAAGGGGACTCATTCACTCTGCACAGCTATTCAAAACTGTGTAGGCTGCATGGAAACCAACTCCTAGGGGCTGATGGGGGTTCGGTCCTCCAACAAAATATTTGTGTGTGTTTGGGTGAGAGGGGAGATTGCCCCATTCAGTGGAAAGCCTGAACAGAGCCCATGCATGCTCTTCCATGTAAAAAACCCAAACAAAACAGCAGCAGCAGGGGATCCCCTATCATATGCCCGGTTACTGTGCAATTACAATTGTATTTACAAATTAGAAATGTATCTGAACTTGAAAATAGAAAGCAAAAAGCTGGTGGTCAACAAAAGAGCCTTAAAGAATCTCTCAAGGCTAATCTAAAAAAATGTAGTATAAACACCGACAACTGGGAAACACTGGTCTGCGAGCGCTCCAGTTGGATAACAGCCCATACCAAAGGTGTCATGGGCTTTGAAGACGCTCGAACTCAGGACAAAAGGGAAAAAATGTGCTAAGAGGAAGGCACGCTTGGCAAACCCTCACCATGATCAACTCCCGCCCAGAAACCTATGTATCCACTGTAGAAGGATGTGCGGATCCAGAACTGGCCTTCAG